CTCATTAAACATGAACACGGTAGTTTAGAAGCAAGTGGATAGGGCCCAAAAGCAAACTCTGTTAGAATATATTGAGGCCAATTCCAAAATTATGTCAAATCGAAAACAAAGTAAACAGCATAAATTTGCTGACATTTAATATTCAAGTCATAATATTTAGGTCCATATTTTAATGTTTGACTTATCTACGTCCGCAAATCTTAGCCTTAAATGTCAAGATTTGAAATGCGAACAGCAAAACGCTACTCATGCGTAACTTTTTTAAAACCGCTTTACGTTTTTCAAAAACAAACAGCCCAACAAGTAGAGAATATTAAAACGTTTGTACTATACGCTTTTGTGACTTATTTGTTGTGTTTCTAAAGAAACGCGCTGAGCGATTTCAAAAACGCTGGTTAGAAAATAACCCCATAGATATTCTCGCGCAAAAGTAAGATAAATTAAATCCTAGGAAAGTGAGGCCAATACTAATGCTATCCCCCGACCAACCCTCTGGCAAATCTTAAATATTCTACAAAATATGAAGCAGAACAGCCAAAATGAAAACAGGAGATGCTTCAATTGTAGAAGAATCGAGCACCTTCAAGGAACCTGTAGAAGCAGGGCTTGTTTTATTAATCGAAAATCAGAGAATGATGCTGGAAAGTCACACAGATCAATCTTCCGAAGCCCGTCACGAAGTCCAACAAGAAATAGTCACAGCAATTATCCGTCCCAAAAAAGCCAATCACCAACACCAAGCCGGCTTTCTAGCAATAATCAGAACGTAGAGCATCGTAGAGGCCGACATTTTCTCCAGGCGACCCTATTTAGAACGAGAATGCCGGTACAGTAAGGGGCTAGAAGAACGGGAGGAACCGGTTGATATAGTTACTCTTCGGGCAACCACTATCAAACCAGAGGGCGATGAAGAAGAAATCACCCTTGAAAGCCTGAGAAAGGGACAGAAGAAAAACAATGACGAAGGTCACAATGACTTGAAGATTTTCCGAGGATGACTCAAATATAAAGTCACCTACTTGGCAAAAGGTAGCCAAATACAGTGGAGCTATTAAAAGGTACTGGACTCAGTGGGATTTCCTGTATCTTCACGATGGTTTATTGCACCGGAAGTGGGTGAGCCCTGATGGAGTACATGTCGCCCGCCAAGTGGCACTGTCGCAATCACATGTCAGAAGTGCGTTGAAGGAGCTTCATAACAGCCGTTCGGGAGGACATTTTGGTAATAAAAGGACACTGGCACGGGTTCGGAAAATATTTTATTGGGTTAATTGCCGACGGGATGTAGTGGATTGGTGTAAAAAATATGATGTATGCAATGGCAGGACAAAGGTCTACGGATTCGCTCGGGAACGTTTAAAAGTTAATAGCGATGAAGCAGAAGCTAGAATCGAGAGGAGTGCCACAGGGACACATTTTGAGAAAGGCCACCCAAAACGGCTGTACAGTCCCAAGCACCGAGGAGGACTTTCTCCGAAATCGCAACGCAACTGAGAAGGCACCTACGCCATCCTTAAGGAAAATCAACGACCTGATCTACCGCATTCAGCAGTCAGCGGGAAGTATATCTAAGATAGTTCACATTGAAAAGTTAGCGCCATACCGAGGTCCAGATCCTCCCCGTTAACTTCAACCAGGTCCCAGTAATCAAGTTATTCGGGTCAAATAACTAGAGAGGAGGGAGCAATGTTACGCAGCGCCTTACAGTGTGATGCGGTCGTCATAAGTAAAAGTACGAGTAAAAGAAGATAGAATAGTTTAGAAATGTCTGAAAATGTAATAACTTGTCAAGAACATAATAGCAGATAGGCCACCACTGCATAAAGTTATACAATATTAATGTCGCTATCATATGATCAGTATCTCTCTTTCTAATGAAGGCTTTCTCACTCGTTTAAGAATTCTCAGCAGTAGCGTACCGTAAAACAATTTCGCTGGGTCATTTTAAATGCGAAAATGTTGACCAAGTAGAGTATAAAATAAAATGTTTTAAAAGGTAGGTACGTGCATTTTTAATGAAGTGAAAACAAAATAAGACTTTTTTGTTATGAATATAACATTAATAACAATTACTTTTAACACCACAACACCAAAAAATTTAAATTAAACACTGGAATAATTGTCTGAGAAAAGCTTTGTAAAACTGACAAATACAAACAAAGAGATAGAGATATTAATCTATTTCTCTCTAATTAGAATTCTCGATCATATTATCATGGCGACACAAACATTGTTTACTGTCCTCTCTTTACTACTTACTTACTCTGAGTCAAGAACAATCTAGAAGACAGTTCTAGAAGCTATATAAGCCGATGATCCTGACGTCAGATTCAGTTTTATGATAGACGTTATATGTTAATGTTGTCAGTTGTATAGTTATTGTAAAAGTTGAGTTGAAAAAAATTGAGAAACGAAAAAAACCGGCGTAACATTATATTACACTATTTTACTATTAATTATCATAATTTATAAAAAAAATATATTGCGTAGGCTGCATTTATATTCAACTAAATTATTTTTCTTAATTTTCATATTTGATTTTACTCTTTGGCAAATATAGGTACAGTTTTAAATATATATTATGATTAACTACTTTTGGAATATTCTATGGAATTAACGAATCATATATACAGGGTAATACATTGAAAACTTCTCACCCTCAATATCTTTCTTCCATTAAATAATTATGAAAAATCCCAAAAACCTTTTAATTTTATTTTCAAGGGGGACACCTACAATGAATACTTTTATCACTCATGGCTCTACATTCTAGGAGAGGTAAATATTACCTTTAAAATCTTAAATGGGAAAGCGGGTCAAGTGGCACATCATTTAAAAGGTCGTTTAATTATCTTCTGACCAGCAGGTTCCAAAAAATTGCATTTAAAAGTTATGGAAGTTGTAACGTGCCTGCACTGAGATTGTTGGTTTTCAGTTTAGTTTTTAAAGAAAAATTATTACAGTGAGTTAAATAACTGGAGGAATATCAAGTTTACACGTTTAATTTTTGATTTAAAAAAATAACTTTTAATTTGCACAAAACAATTTAAAAATAAAACACATAGGATATACTTGTACAATTTTAAAAACTGCTTAAAATGTTGTCCATTGTACTGTAAATAGTACGGTTTCCGAACTCCTCTCCAACAATTCAGAAAACTTCACCTGGAATTGACCGGCATGCTGCGGTAATTTACCTTTTAAGATCAATGTAGTGTTTTATAAACAACGGATTTAAATATTCACCAAAGAAAAAAGTCTAAGGGTGTTAAATCAGGCCATTTTAGAGGTCATTCAATTGTCCACCTTCTGCCAATCCAGCTGTCTGGGAATCTCTCATTTAGACACTGTTGGACGGGAAGAAAAAAAGGAGGTACAGTACCGTTTTGCTGGAAATGTAACATATTCTCCTGTAAAACTAAATCACATTCTGCATCAGTTTGAGTTTCTACCTCGTGAGTTATAAGATCGCTTTAAGCATATCAAGTTTCCTTCAATAAATAAAGGAATAATAATTACATTTCAAGAATACCACACCAAACATTAACTTTTTGCGGACGTTGTGTATGCCCCTCTCGAATAATATACGGGTGTTCGTTACGTCTATATCTACAATTTTGTTTATATATAAACATTGCCATTAAGAAAAAATGAAGATTCATCACTGAAACAGATATTCAGCAGAATATTAAGCTTGGCGTTGACTTAATCAGACATGGTTTCACAAAACTCTATTTTTCTATCAAAATCATCTTCGTAGAGCTCTTGAAGTATATGCATTTTATAGGGATGAAATTTATGCATATTTAGTGCTCTTCCTACAGTGATATGTCTGTTCTGCTACTGTTCATATGGAGACAGTTGGTACTGCAACAAATATTCCCAAAATCTCAATTTAAGCTTCTTCATTAAGAACTCGTCGGTTATTTCGTATTCTATTTTTCACCAAACCAGTTTACAAAAACTGTGCCACCAAATCGAGAATATACCAGTGACTTACATTACAATTAGGATTTCTTTCATTAAAAGGAAATGCTGCCCTTCGTGCGCATTTTCCAACCTCTCTATCATTTCGATTCTTTTGTAGACGGCAAACCATTTTTGCAGTTTATTCACTTAATTAACGGTATCTCTGAATAGCCCAACAATACTAATACTAATAGACCAACAGATAGTGACAAGTTTAGGTGCCCCATTTTCGCATTCTAGATCACTGGGGCATTGGTTTAAGTGATAAAGGTTGGATAAGGGCCGAAATATTTATAGATTACATAAAAAATATTCTGCAATTATATATTATTGACAAGGGTATTACATTGATAATAATTTTGTTTTTGGATGGCCAAAAGACCCACTTGACCTATGAAGTTTCTAAGTTATGTAACGAGCTTAATATTATATTGATAGCACTTTATCCAAATACTACACGTAATCTTCAACCTGCAGATGTCTCAAGCTTTAAACTGCTTAAAAATGGTTGGATAAAGGCTGTAGTGGAATGGCAAAGACAAAATCCTTACATAAAATTAGGAAAAGAACACTTTGCGTCAATTCTTTAAAAAGCTCTGACTAATTTAAAATTAGAAACAGTTGTAAAAGGATTTGAAGCATGCGGATTACATCCATGGAATCCAGACAGAATTGATTATACCAAATGTTTGGGACGAAAATCTATATTGGCTGTTAAAAATGAAAATGACAACAACTTCGAAAAACTCATGACTTTTAGGGACTTTTCTAACATAGTGGGAAAAGATAAAATATTAGAACTGAAGAATGACTTAATTTTGCACAAGTGTGGAAGCTCTAATATTCTTAAAAAAATTTACAAATATTTTGAAAACAATCCTACAGTTTTCTCTAGTGCCACTCAAAATAGTGAAGACAGCATCATTGAAATAACTGAAAATAATGATGACAGCATGGTTAATTATTTCAAAATGTCTGATAACGATACCAAAATTGAAAAGCAATTATTTTCAAAAAAATAAATTGAAGACATGCCTTTTATTTTTGATAATAAGCCTTTATATTTAAAATCAGAATCTCCGAAAACGTTACCCTATAATGACAAAATAATTATTCATAAACATATTAAAATTTTGAAACCTAAAACTATTATTGTTGAAGAAAAAACAGAAGGTATTAAAATAAAGTTACACCTGTGATGGAATCTATTTTTTTTTTATTTTAGGTATAACTTAAACTGTGACTAGTCCAAAACTTAGAATCCTAGACTCAGAAGGAAAATTTAATGTTAATGAAGAAGACTCATGCATTGGTATATTTTTATATCCCATTTTTAATTTCCATTAACAAACAATTTTTTAGATGAAGACCATCCCAAAGACGACATAGACATGAAAGAACAATTTAAATTAAACGAGACATTAAACATTTTGGACCAAAATAATCAAGATGTTTTTAAAAATTCTCAAGGTAATGCAAGTATTATTTTTAATTTTTTTTATTTTTAATTAGTTTTCTTTTGGTTCGTAGGCCATGATTCCAAGAATAATGACAATGATATGAATCAAAATTATTTCATGTTAGACAATTTGAACCAAAATACAGATGAAAATTTGGAAAATATTCCAGGTAATTGTCATTATCTTAATTGTACTTTCTGAGCAATGTTACGTTGATTTTAGAAAGTATGAGTAGTAAGAAAACGGTCGAATCTGGCCTTAATTGTTGCGGGTCAGAAATAATAGAAAAAGCAATAGCAATAAATTTAGAAGATTTCCTTCCAAAAGCGAAAACGCCTGAAAGGAAAAACAAAAATCAAATAAAAAAAACGTCTTTCGTTATCTCTTCTAGCGCTTACAAAAAAGAAATGAAAGAAAAGAAGAAAAAGAAAGAAGCACTAGAACATCAAAAAGAAGAAAACAGACAAAAGAGATTAAAGCAGAAATTGGAGGAACAAGGTAAGCCTAAACAAACAATAAAAAGTAAAGTAGATGAAAAACAGCCTAAACAAGGAAAAAAAAGTAAAACTGCCGACACTGATTGTATAGATGCCCCTGCTGAAGCAAGTAACATCACAAAAAAACATCCTAATTCAGAAAAATTTTGTAAAACCGAAACTACCGATGAAGTAAAAAATTATGTCATAAAAAGAACTGGATTATGTTTTTCATGTGTGACAAATATAACTTTAAATAAAATTGGAATAAAATGCCAAGACTGTAACAGAGTATATCACCTGGTCTGCTAAAAGAAAAGTGGAATATTCAAGGATTTTTATAGATGTGGTGTTTGTACCGTCAAACTAAGTTTGCGTTCGTAATATGTTTTTATCAATTGGAAATACTCTTTGTAATGTTTTATAATGAGTAAATTTAAAAAAGCGTCTTTTTTGTATTTTTCTGTATTTTATTTGATTAAAAGGTTTATAAATATTATAAAAAACGCCTTTAAAACAGCTACACTCACTATTTACCATTTTAATTCTTTAGAGCCAATAATTGGGTATTTTCAGTATGCCAAGTACTAGGTTTTTAGTACCAATAACTGGGCGAATTTTATTGCTACTATTATCAAAATATATGCTATACATATTAACAAATAATACTAAATAGATTTTAAAAACAAATTGCTGACATTTTTTGAAATTTTTACTTATTTTGAGAAACATGTTCTTAAGGCGCCAATAACTGGGGGTTTTACCCTATATTAGGTCTGTTCCAACAACGATCAGAAACCAGTAATTGACACCAGGATTGTGCGCAGCATAAATTTGGCGGTCTAAATAATCTACTGCACAGAATCCTGGTGTCAATTACTGGTTTCAGATTGTTGTTGGAACTGACCTTCTAATTACAAATAAGTGTACTTATTACACACCTTATTCTTAAACTTAATAAGCAGAACTTCTAATTACAAATAAGTATACTTATTACACACCTTATTCTTAAACTTAATGAGCAATGGCTCAAATCCTTTAAAAATTAATGTAAAATCATTTATATAAGCAATAGATAAAAGCTTAAAAAAATGCACCCCCGAGTTTTTCGTTCTGAAATTAACAAATCTGTAAGAGTCAAACATTTTGCGTGTAAATCGTCGGTCTTTAAAAGCTCTGCTTCCGCATCACAGTACGTCACGTGGTACAAATCTGCACAGGTAAAGGTAAAGCTAAAGAATTCGCTAAGGAATGTGTATTTTATTGTCTTCATTATTCCAAGATTTTTCAACCGCTCTGAGTGGTAAAAGGATCTGGGACCTGAGGGGATGGTATGGAAGAAATGGTGATAGGTATTTGAGAGGATGGTACTGACCTAGCTTTTACCTACTGCTATGAGAAAACCTTTGAAAAACAAATAGCAGCTTAGGCGGCAATGAGACTTGAACCCACCTACCTTCCGAATTAGAGGATAATACATTGCTGCAGAACCATATCTGCTTTCCTTTTTTAGTATCATTATCTACAGTAATTAAACCGAAATGCTGCAGTCACTCAAAGCTGTTGCTTAAAAAAAAACTTTATTGAATAAAAAATAATAATTTTAAAATACTACTAACTTGAACTGTAACAGCATTGTATGCTTCCCAAAATACCATAAAATTATAAATATCCTGTTTCTGTGCCGAATTCCAAGCGCCGCGCCGTCTGAAAATTCCAAATTAAACTTTTTATAGTCCATCGATAACTCGAGATAAACCGATAAAGGATAAAGCTTCTAAATACATTCTCTTTATTGTTTCAGATGCATTACGTTTTATTTGTGCTATCAGCATTATTATAGAAGAAAAGCGGAAATTTAAAAACATTTCTGGATAAAAGTTTAGCTTTTGTTTGCATCGAATCGTGACAAAATGCAATATACATCGATCGGTGATGGTTTGTTTGAGGCAAAACAGGCTTTCGATGAGCATCTTGTTTATTGTTTTATTGTACAAACACTCTGTCAATGGTAAACGATTCGAAAACTATGGATATAACAAAGATAATTTAGTTTTTTTCTTAACCTTTCTAAACACTCATTTCATTTATTTTACTTGCTAAATTAGTAAAATAAAATTTACTGTTCCTTATTTGTCAAATGCACTGTAAACCTTTTCTCCCTGCCTGAGCATCTAAAAAGAGTTACGAGAACCACTAGACTAAATTCATTTAACCTACTGATTTGAAAACACTTCTGTTTTTACATTTATTTACTTTTTCATATTTAATTTTGTCGTATTTATTTTGAGTTAAGATATTTTATTTTTACTAGTTGACCCGATCCCGTTTTGCTGGAACTTCTCAAATCTCAATTATTAAAATTAAATAACAGTACTCGTTATTCGAGAGAAATTTTTTTATGCGATACCTGACAATTTTTTTTATTAATTTTTAATTATTAGTTTTTAATGATTAATTAATTTTTATTAATTTAATTTTTATAAATTTTTATAAATTTTTATAAATTTTTATAAATTTTTATAAATTGTTATAAATTTTTATTAATTTTTAATAATTTTTATTAATTTTTATTAATTTTTATTAATTTCTATTAATTTTTATTAATTTTATTAATTTTTATTAATTTTTATTAATTTTTATTAATTTTTATTAATTTTTAATTATTTTTATTAATTTTTATTAATTTTTATTAATTTTTATCAATTTTTATTAATTTTTAATAATTTTTATTAATTTTTATTAATTTTTATTAATTTTTATTAATTTTTATTAATTTTTATTAATTTTTATTAATTTTTATTAATTTTTATTAATTTTTATTAATTTTTATTAATTTTTATTAATTTTTATTAATTTTTATTAATTTTTATTAATTTTTATTAATTTTTATTAATTTTTATTAATTTTTATTAATTTTTATTAATTTTTATTAATTTTTATTAATTTTTATTAATTTTTATTAATTTTTATTAATTTAATTTTTATTAATTTTTAATAATTTTTAATTATTTTTATTAATTTTTATTAATTTTTATTAATTTTTATTAATTTTTATTAATTTTTATTAATTTTTATTAATTTTTATTAATTTTTATCAATTTTTAATAATTTTTATTAATTTTTATTAATTTTTATTTATTTTTATTACTTTTTATTAATTTTTATTAATTTTTATTAATTTTTATTAATTTTTATTAATTTTTATTAATTTTTATTAATTTTTATTAATTTAATTTTTATTAATTTTTAATAATTTTTTAATTATTTTTATTAATTTTTATTAATTTTTATTAATTTTTATTAATTTTTATTAATTTTTATTAATTTTTATTAATTTTTATCAATTTTTAATAATTTTTATTAATTTTTATTAATTTTTATTTATTTTTATTACTTTTTATTAATTTTTATTAATTTTTATTAATTTTTATTAATTTTTATTAATTTTTATTAATTTTTATTAATTTAATTTTTATTAATTTTTAATAATTTTTTAATTATTTTTATTAATTTTTATTAATTTTTATTAATTTTTATTAATTTTTATTAATTTTTATTAATTTTTATTAATTTTTATCAATTTTTAATAATTTTTATTAATTTTTATTAATTTTTATTTATTTTTATTACTTTTTATTAATTTTTATTAATTTTTATTAATTTTTATTAATTTTTATTAATTTTTATTAATTTTTATTAATTTTTATTAATTTTTATTAATTTTTATTAATTTTTATTAATTTTTATTAATTTTTATTAATTTTTATTAATTTTTATTAATTTTTATTAATTTTTATTAATTTTTATTAATTTTTATTAATTTTTATTAATTTTTTATTAATTTTTATTAATTTTTATTAATTTTTATTAATTTTTATTAATTTTTAGTAATTTTTATTAATTTTTATTAATTTTTATTAATTTTTATTAATTTTTATTAATTTTTATTAATTTTTATTAATTTTTATTAATTTTTATTAATTTTTATTAATTTTTATTAATTTTTATTAATTTTTATTAATTTTTATTAATTTTTATTAATTTTTATTAATTTTTATTAATTTTTATTAATTTTTATTAATTTTTATTAATTTTTATTAATTTTTATTAATTTTTATTAATTTTTATTAATTTTTATTAATTTTTATTAATTTTTATTAATTTTTATTAATTTTTATTAATTTTTATTAATTTTTATTAATTTTTATTAATTTTTATTAATTTTTATTAATTTTTATTAATTTTTATTAATTTTTATTAATTTTTATTAATTTTTATTAATTTTTATTAATTTTTATTAATTTTTATTAATTTTTATTAATTTTTATTAATTTTTATTAATTTTTATTAATTTTTATTAATTTTTATTAATTTTTATTAATTTTTATTAATTTTTATTAATTTTTATTAATTTTTATTAATTTTTATTAATTTTTATTAATTTTTATTAATTTTTATTAATTTTTATTAATTTTTATTAATTTTTATTAATTTTTATTAATTTTTATTAATTTTTATTAATTTTTATTAATTTTTATTAATTTTTATTAATTTTTATTAATTTTTATTAATTTTTATTAATTTTTATTAATTTTTATTAATTTTTATTAATTTTTATTAATTTTTATTAATTTTTATTAATTTTTATTAATTTTTATTAATTTTTATTAATTTTTATTAATTTTTATTAATTTTTATTAATTTTTATTAATAATTTTTATTAATTTTAATTAATTTTTAATAATTTTTAATAATTTTTATTAATTTTTATTAATTTTTATTAATTTTTATTAATTTTTATTAATTTTTATTAATTTTTATTAATTTTTAATAATTTTTATTAATTTTTATTAATTTTTATTAATTTTTATTAATTTTTATTAATTTTTATTAATTTTTATTAATTTTTATTAATTTTTATTAATTTTTATTAATTTTTATTAATTTTTATTAATTTTTATTAATTTTTATTAATTTTTATTAATTTTTATAAATTTTTATTAATTTTTATTAATTTTTATTAATTTTTATTAATTTTTATTAATTTTTATTAATTTTTATTAATTTTTATTAATTTTTATTAATTTTTATTAATTTTTATTAATTTTTATTAATATTTATTAATTTTTATTAATTTTTATTAATTTTTATTAATTTTTATTAATTTTTATTAATTTTTATTAATTTTTATTAATTTTTATTAATTTTTATTAATTTTTATTAATTTTTAATTATTTTTATTAATTTTTATTAATTTTTATTAATTTTTAATAATTTTTATTAATTTTTAATAATTTTTATTAATTTTTATTAATTTTTATTAATTTAATTTTTATTAATTTTTATTAATTTTTAATTATTTTTATTAATTTTTATTAATTTTTATTAATTTTTATTAATTTTTATTAATTTTTATTAATTTTTATTAATTTTTATTAATTTTTATTAATTTTTATTAATTTTTATTAATTTTTATTAATTTTTATTAATTTTTATTAATTTTTATTAATTTTTATTAATTTTTATTAATTTTTATTAATTTTTATTAATTTTTATTAATTTTTATTAATTTTTATTAATTTTTATTAATTTTTATTAATTTTTATTAATTTTTATTAATTTTTATTAATTTTTATTAATTTTTATTAATTTTTATTAATTTTTATTAATTTTTATTAATTTTTATTATTTTTTATTATTTTTTATTAATATTTATTAATTTTTATTAATTTTTATTAATTTTTATTAATTTTTATTAATTTTTATTAATTTTTATTAATTTTTATTAATTTTTATTAATTTTTATTAATTTTTATTAATTTCTATTAATTTTTATTAATTTTTATTAATTTTTATTAATTTTTATTAATTTTTATTAATTTTTATTAATTTTTATTAATTTTTATTAATTTTTATTAATTTTTATTAATTTTTATTAATTTTTATTAATTTTTATTAATTTTTATTAATTTTTATTAATTTTTATTAATTTTTATTAATTTTTATTAATTTTTATTAATTTTTATTAATTTTTATTAATTTTTATTAATTTTTATTAATTTTTATTAATTTTTATTAATTTTTATTAATTTTTATTAATTTTTATTAATTTTTATTAATTTTTATTAATTTTTATTAATTTTTATTAATTTTTATTAATTTTTATTAATTTTTATTAATTTTTATTAATTTTTATTAATTTTTATTAATTTTTATTAATTTTTATTAATTTTTATTATTCAATAATTTATTTTTGCAAACTATTGATCTCTGTGAGAATTAATAATATATTATGTTCTCTTTTACCGAAACTTAAAAAACAAAAAAACCAAAAAAAAAATAAAAAAAATACCAAATTCAATTTTAATTATAATCTATTATAACGCAAACAAATTTAAATTTGCCCGATTTTGACCTTTACCCTATTTTAGACTTATACCCAGATTTTGACTTTTAAATATACCCTATTTTGACTTTTTTCCCGATTTTATCTTTTCCTCATATTTTTTCTATTTTTTCTATTCATGATATGGACATGTAAATGGTATTTTGGTTTATATTTTTGATTGTAATTATGTATAATAAGTATACTGGATTAGAAATTCATTGTTAATTTAACAGCACGTATAAGCGTGATTACTGTTTACTAATTGTGTTAAATATTTTATTAAATAGCTTTATATTGTTATTACTCTAGTCAATGG